AAGTTGATAGAAAACTAAAAAAAAATGAAAAGAACCCCACACCCCTTGGGTCTGATTCCAATGTAAAATGAATTATTTCTTCTAAATAGTCTATTTTGGTATTAGGATTGACCATCGAGTTTATTTATTTATTTTTCGTCCTCATCTCGGTGATCGAAGTGCATGATGGAATGGGTGCTATACTGTGAAGTATCCTGGCGTGGTGTTTCCGGATCGGCTGAAATGAATGTTGGTAGATTTATTATGGAGATTGAAGAATCGGTGTAGGAAATGGATTCCGGAATGGTTTGTGTGGGAGGTGATCTGAAAACCGGGTCCCATCCCATTCGATTATATAGAATGTTGATCCTTTCAATGAGTTTGGTGCAGGTACCACAAATGTCTTATTTGTCTACGATGCATGTTATATTTATATTTGTGGGAGTGGAGTATGGGTTTGAATGGATGGGTTCCACCATTGATAAGAAATCGTTAAAATATTTGTTTATGTGATCCAACATGTCTGTGCTTTTTATGTGGTATGTGTGTTGATGGGTTGGGGTGAATAGATCGAATTGGGCTGCTGTTCGTTTAAATGGTTTCATTACGGTGTATCGTTATTCAAAGTTTGGTATGGAATCATCCGGATATGGGTCTGTCCATATTGCAGATGGAAGTTTAATGGGGTATGTTATAGGTGGTGCGTAGGGTTTTTTATATGGGGAAGGATGCATTTGCACGGGTATTTGTTAAACTGGGAATTTTTAATTTAATATATGGAATTCTTGTTTCTATTTAAAAGTAAGATGATCTGTGAGATAAATGTAATGAAAATATGTGGGGGTTATATCATGGTAAAAAAAGGTCCATTGTTATGAATTAGGGTTGAAAAGGTAAATTGGATTGTAAAAATAATTTATAAAATGGCCTGTTTAGATTTTAAAAACAATAAATATTCTATGAAATAATATTGGTTCATTTGAATCCATTTATTCTTCATCACTTTCCTTTTTCACGAGTATAGGGGTATCTAGTATTAAACTTCTTGTTCGGGGTCCGATTTGCGGTACTTCGCGCTACGGCTTTTTCTTAAAAGTTTCTTATTTTTTTCCAGTTCTGTCATGACGTATTCGTTGATGGAAACCGCAAGATCGTCCCTAAGGATGATATTAAACGAGTGGAAATGGGTATTCAAGAAGTTTATCGTATCCACCAATAGGTCACATTTCCATTTGAAGTGCTGGATTCATTTGATATTGTTTTTTTAGTGTATGGACTGAACAAAGTCCCCAATTGAGTTTTGTTCAGGAAAATACCGGAATCGTTTGGTTTTGTGGGGTCTTATGTGCATGACCGTTGTCTTGTGTGTGGGGTTTGGTTCTGGTATTTCAGTGAATTCTTTGGCGGAATCTATGATATTGTTCATATTCATTGTCATCTGATAGTTTGGTGTATTCGCAATGGTCTTGTCTGTGGGATTATTGGATTCGATTTGATGCATTACAAATTTAATTTGGTTAATGTGATGAGTTATTGAAATTGAGCTGGATTTGAAGGTAAGAAAATTCACTTTTTGTATGTCAAAAGGAAAGTGGGACCGAAAAAAAATGGATTGATGTGTGGGGTTAAATAAAAATGAAACAGTAGTTTTGACATTTCTGTCTTTTTTTATATATAGTTTTTTTTATATTTTTGTAAATTCATGTGTGATATTCGGAAGTTTATTGTATCGGGAATGTTTTTTTTTCTATCCTAGCAATGTATGAATGGAGTTTATTC